AGTTATTCAGGTTTTAAAAAATAAAGGTTGAAGAATTATTTGTATCTCTAGTAAAAAACTTAAAATTCTTAATTATAGACCAGTTTACTTATAACACTTGACAAAACAAATACTTCTGAATAAAAAAAATATCAATTCTCAAATCAAATATCCTTCTCTGTCTATATTATTTCTAAAAGTTAACGAAACTTTGTCAAAAATAAAATAAAACACCTTTGTAAACAACATTTTTATTTTTGTCTTTATTGTTTTCTTTATTTTTGTTGGTTTACTCCATTTAGACCTCATACAAAACCCCTGTCTCTTTTTGAGTCACGTGACTTCAGTTTAGTTTTAAGTTAATTTTATGTTAAGGTCTTAAAAAATTCTGATAATGTCGAGTTGATATTCGAGAGTTTTAAGCTATAGACTATTCAAAATAATCACATAATGTTTATTATTGATTATGGTTTTCTGATTTGTGCCTATTTAAAATGTCTTCAAATATAATTCATTACGATAATATAATAGGTGCGTAACAGACAAATAATGAACGAAAAAAGACTAGAAAAAAGAACAATAAGTCTCTTTTTCAGTATTAAGTTTAAAAATAAGAAAAATGTTCCTTACTTTTTTTAAATAAAGATCGAAAAATCTTTTCTTTTTTTTCTTATCTTCAAATTTTACTTGTTTTACTTGTTTACTTGTTTATTAAGTTCTCTCTTGTTTTCTAGTACCCGTAAAGCAATATTTTCTCTATTTGTCATTTAAAAAAAATCTGATTTGAGGTGTGAAATTATCTGGCAGCTGCATTGTATACATATTTAAGTCAAAAATTGTAATGGAGGAAATTTTCTTTTCTTATAAATTAATAATCTCTACAGCCTACTAAAACATTCTCTCAATTTACCAGCTCAATCTGGTTCAGATTGTTGCAGAATGTCTAATCTTCAAAAACTGCAAGGCATATTTGAATATTATTGATTTTAACTTGAATAACTGCCTGTGCACTACAATTGTACACCAGTTACTCAACACTTTATTTTTAGATGATATTAAATAAAAAATAATAATTGTCCATACGTAATTTTTTTAAAGAAAAATCAATTACACTTCTTTAAATTCCATAATATGCTGGTACCTAGAAAGTTTTAATTTTTTGTACACCATTGTACATTGTTAAGAATATATAAAATATAATTAGACAGCTGAACAAATATTACAATTGTAGGTATTAGCAAAATACTAAAATAAAAAGTAACTTTTAGCTTGTATGTTTTCAATAGAAAATATGTCAGTTTGATTTTAAAAAGAGCCTTGATATAAATAAATTTTTTTAAGTTTAATTTTTTGAGGACCATTTCTTTAGAAAAAAAAAATATTTTCTCTCTGGGTCAAACTATTTTGTGACAAAAATGGTCCACTTAAACAAAAACAGAAAAAAAAACCTCTAAAAATTACGGTCATCTAACAAATTAAAAATGCAGTCCTATCTTGGACGCAACTTGACATAGAGCAACATCAGAAAATTTATAATGTTTGACTGAGTCAGACAAAAAACTTCAAAGGATTAAGACAATGAAAAAAAAGAAGGAAAAAGTATACATGTAGACACAAAACTAAGTATTGGAAATCAGTTTTATTACTTTTTCCATTAAACTTTACAGAAGAGTAATGCCAAGGTTAATTATGCAAAATTTTTGCGCACAAAGATATGGTGATTATTACGCGAAAAATGCATTGATTTCCTTCTGATTACGGAAATATAAATTTATAAGATACACAACTTTTTATGAAACTGAATCTGAGTTTTCCTCATACAAGTGACAAAAAACACTTAATAGAAACGCATAGTTTTTAACACTCTTAAATGCATGTAAATAACATCTGGAAATTAACAAAACATTTACATTTTTAACAGAGGGATTATTGTTTTTGGAATAGCAATTTTTGAAATATAGTTTCTTCACAATAGTTTATTCAAAATTTTAAGATAAATGATAGAACTAATAATAATCAATACATTATTCTTAATCATTTGCTTCAAAATTATGCCAATAATGATATTATAATAATGATACATCATTAATACATAATGATATTATATAATGATACATTATTATAATAATGATATTATAATAATGATACATCAATAATTCACTTTCAATAAAGGAATTTTTTTCATAAAATACAGCATACCAAGCAAATGATTGAGGTAAAAATTACTGGATTGGGCCACATTTGAAAGCTAATTATCTTAATTAAACCTCTTTTAGAAATCGCTTAAATGCAAATTACTTTTAAAATAAAACATCGTAAAAAAAATAAACCTCTTCATTGCAAACGGGGAAAAATACTTATAATTACTATACATAACTTTAAACTACATTCATATGAAACTTAATGGTTCAGGCACATTTTAATTACCTTCTTCTCAACATGCAAATCAGGGTGAGTAGCCAGATTTTTCATCAAAAAATAAGCACCTTCTAAGTACTTTTTAAGCACTCAAAAAATATTTTCAATCACTTTCCAAAAAAAAAAAATCATAATTAGGATNTCAAGACACTTTCCCGGAAGTCATACTGGAGAAAATGTAGGCAAGATGTTAAGCAGCTTGAGCGAGGAATGGAATGTGACAAGTAAAATATATCTTGTCGTTCGTGATGGTGGTTCAAATATTGTAAAAGCCGTAAATGATCTCAATTTCGAAAGTGAATCTTGTTTTTTACATAATTTGCATTTAATTGTAAGTGATGCATTAAATTCCCAAAGAGCATTAAAGGATATCATTGCTCTAGGAAGAAGAATTGTTGGCCATTTCAACCATTCTTCTTTAGCTTTTTCAAAATTCAAAGAAATACAATATATATTTCATTTTTACCCTTCTACTCAATATTTTATTTCAAGCCAAATGTTACTGCCGGATAATCATAATATTCGGCCATAACCGGATATCCGTTGCATCTCTATTTTTAAGCACTCTATACATTAACAAAATGCAAAATAACTATCAAAGACTTTACATATTCAAGAAAAAATAACTAGTTTCTGACAAAGAATTCTTTTCTTGATTATATTAGCCATTATAAAATGATCGAGAGATTTTTCGATTCAATATCAAAAGGTGGGAAATGGAGCTTGAAATTGAGAATATCTTGCAAAATGCAGCACAGTTGCACACATGAGTGCAATAATCTCACCGAACTCAGCTCAGTAGACGCACATACGGACTCACAAGTATTTAATCAAACATGTAAAATGATTGGCTTTTCGTAGGTTGTGGACGGACAGTATGCCGAAATAGATTGTGGTTGAATGAATTGCAACAACGTTGAATAGAACAATGTGAAAAGCATAATACGTGGCGAAAATCGACATGGTAAAGAAAAATATCTCAATTTTCGACAAGGGAAAATTAAGCACTTTTAAAAACACCCAATGAAAAAAGCACCTTTAAGATCTTTTAAAAAACAAAAATAAGCACGTTTAAGCACTTTTTAAAAACGCTATGCACCATGTATTAGATTATTATTGGAATATTTATCTATTTAAATGTGGAATGTCTAAAAGTGTGGAAAGGGTAAAATATCTCGAGAAGAATGCATTAGATCAACAATGTGAACATATCAAGTGAAAGGTAATTTCACTAGACTTTAGAAACTCTGAGTCCTTAGGATTCATTTTCAAGGTCATCATTTAAAATCAGGGTTGGAATTTTGGACATCCTAAACTGGTTCTGAACAGAACACGTGGGTTTTACTGTCTTAAACTGTCCAAAACCTTGAACGTTGGTAAAAACTCTATAGGTGTAAGCATTGTACACATAATAATTACATATATTAATAAATATTTGATATTTTTTACACAATTTGCTTTAACTTATTAATAGAAAATAATATAATAGGAAAATATTCATAAGTTTTGAAGCTCCACAATTCATTAAACGACAAAATTAAATATCTTATCCTTAAAATATGAATAAATATGCTTTTAATACTGATAAATTATGTTTTTGCATAAGGATAAATAATGCAATATTAAAAATAATAATAAACTTTTAATAAAATAAAAACTTGTCTTCATTTTGTTTCTTGTTCAAAATATAACCTTTTATCTTTCACTATATTCTATTTAAAATTGTGACATAATTTTAATAAACAGGTTTTGGACAGTTTAAGACAGTTTTGAACAATACGGTTCAAACCGTGGATGAATCCATTCTGTCCTAAGCCTTGCCAACTCTGTTTAAAATAATATAAATTTCCCATTTATCTTCTTCAGTTACAGTTTTCTACCTTAATATTCAACAGTCTGAACTAAAATCATAATAATTGTTTTAAATTTTGTTCACACACATTCAGTTTCTTGCCTTACTATTAATCTTCTTTGTTTAAATATACACATTTTTATTGGCAAAAACCACTCTGTAGCAAAGAAACTAAAATAAAAAAAGAATTTTAAAAAAAAAATTACTCTCAACAGAACTAAAAAAAAAAAAAAAAAATTTTTTACTCTCAACAGAACTTTAAAAAATAAAAATAAAAAAATAAACGCACATAAATTAGTATAACTATTGTAGATTATATTATAAACTATATTATATATGTAATTTTCATACATAAAATATACAATAAAAAATGAATGTAATTAAGAGTTCTGCTTCAACATGACTGTCAAATTTTATTGTGTGAATAATCCACATACCTTTATATTAAATTATTAACAAAATGAATTACAAATTGAAACAGAAATTTAACGAGCTAATTCGTTTAAAAAATAAGATATGCACATTTTTTTAATTATGCTACTCCACCACCATGGCATAGCCACAGTTGCTCACTGGGTTATGATAAGAGAATAACAATTCTGGCATTTTTGAGGGCAACAGGAAAGAGATCTAAGTGCCCACCATTAAATATATATATATATATATTGAATTGAGATGGCTCCGCGATGAAGACACAGAACTGTAATTGTAAAAAAGTTAGTTTTTAATTCCTTCCTAGTGACTCAGCTTCAGATCAATGGGTACCCACTCAGCTTCAGATCAATGGGTACCAGCTTTATTGGAAGTAAAGGTGGTGTGTGCGTTTGACACACCACATTGTCGCAATTATGCAGATGGTCACGAAATTGTGGAGCCTTAACCTTCATGATCCCTGATTCAAAATCCCAACTTCACTGAGTTATATTTATATAAAAATCAGAATTTTTTCAAGCATTCATTGAGCTTAATCTTACCACCTTGTGATTACTACCAAAAAAGTATAAACAATAAAGGTGCTTACTTTGATAAAATAATTGGTTCCATTAACCAACTGAGATCTGTAGTTGATGGGAGTAAATTCCTCGAATTGAAGACCGGTCTTAGTTTGAACTTCATCTTTCACCTAAAATTAAATATTCATATTCAGTAAAGTTATATTCCTTATAACATTATTCTCTTCATATGTTTAAATAGTTATGTATCTTACACACACAAGCAAAATATTACTCAGTCGGGGACTAAATTAAACATGATCCTAAACCACTAAAATTTGACGTGAAATAATTGTCTGTGTTCCCACGAACAGAAATCAATGTAAAGAAATGATGTAGTTTTTCTATCTAAAAAACTCTGCCCACCACAAAGTCTAGAGTTGACCAGGAAAAAAAAGAGCACATTTTAGATACTTCCCTCTCCTATCCGCCCTGCAGTGGACTGATCGTAAAGACACGGTACTAAGCAGAACACCGAAGTCAAGCAGCGCTGGTTACAGTCAGTAAGCGGGTGGGCGACTACTTTGATTGTCCTGCATAGGGTCCGAAGGTGTGCGGTATCAGTCTGCAAAATTGTTCTGTCATAAAATGCTCGTACTAAGGCAGGGGAGCCACCCTCTCATCTTCGGATCATCCTCAGGGATGTTTCCCAGACCCCTTCGCAGATTTTTTCATGCCTTCTGTTACAAAACTCTTTAGCACTAATANATTCCTTATAACATTATTCTCTTCATATGTTTAAATAGTTATGTATCTTACATACACAAGCAAAATATTACTCAGTCGGGGACTAAATTAAACATGATCCTAAGCCACTAAAATTTGACGGGAAATAATTGTCTGCGTTCCCACGAACAGAAATCAATGTAAAGGAATGATGAAGTTTTTCTATCTAAAAAACTCTGCCCACCACAAAGTCTAGAGTTGACCAGGAAAAAAAAGAGCACATTTTAGATACTTCCCTCTCCTATCCGCCCTGCAGTGGACTGATCGTAAAGACACGGTACTAAGCAGAACACCAAAGTCAAGCATCGCTGGTTACAGTCAGTAAGCGGGTGGGCGACTACTTTGATTGTCCTGCATGGGTCCGAAGGTGTGCGGTATCAGTCTGCAAAATTGTTCTGTCATAAAATGCTCGTATTAAGGCAGGGGAGCCACCCTCTCATCAGAGGATCATCCTCAGGGATGTTTCCCAGACCCCTTTGCAGATTTTTTCATGCCTTCTGTTACAAAACTCTCTAGCACTAATATCTTTCTGCAAGATACTTTTAATAATAATAAACATATATGTTACTAATTTAAAATAACAAAAGTATGGTGTTTACAAAAATATATATATAATTGTTTTTAATTAATCTGTAACAATTTTCTATTCTAATATTATGTGGATATTCTCGCATTCTGTTGGGAGGCGGGGGGGGGGGCACAAATTATTTCCTTCTTAGCATTTTGTAAATAATTATCGCAATAAAAAAATAATTAAAAATCATGAAATCCATTGCAATCATCACCGGAAAAAAAAAGAGGACGATGAAATCATGCGAATCGGTTTCCTGAAATTTCTTTTCGAGACTAAGTTTTTGTAATAACTAATATTCTTTAAAAAAAACATCGGATTTAAAAACTATGGAGAAATCAATAGCAAATTCGATAGAATAATTGCATTAAAAAGTAAATACTCAAATGCATGATTCGAATTTTCCATATTGTTTAAAATAATCCGGGATATTTAAAATCCATGTGACAATCAATATCAGTAACTACCGAAAATGCAATTGAAACATTGTATGGATTTACAATACTATTGGCGTACATTGAAGAAGGTCAAAAAGTGTTAATCTAAATGCATAATTCAAATATTGAGTATAAATTTCTGTTGAAAAAAAAAGTAAAATCTTTCTGCAAGAACTCTGTTAGGTTCTGTGGCATTATGCCATGGGGCCCAGACCGTTGCCAAGAGCCCATTGTGCAGCTCTAGTGTGACGTAAATAAAGTACCAACCAACCCACCCTGATCTCTTTCCAAAATGTTGACTCGGTATCTCTACTTGAATTGGTTCAACCTAACTACAATTATTGATAGTGCTCCAGACGACTGGCAAGGACAGTTCTTCGAATATACAAATCACATGCTGGCTGTTTAAGTTTTTCTATGCTGTTTCAGTTTCCTGTCTATCTTTTTAATCACAGATTAGCAAAATTCATCATAATTGAGCCATTACATATACTTTGTACTGTAATTTTTTATTATATTTTAAAAAAATACTTTATTTTAAAAAAACAAACTAATAGAGACAAATAAACAGACCGGAAAAATTTTTTATAGACTAGTAATATCTTTTTTTAGTGGTTTTGTCCCCTTTTCTTTTTAAATCTACAGTAGTTTACAGAAATACATTACTAAATATAAGCATCACCAGGGGTCTGTCTAGGCCGAATTTACTACCGTTTAGCGGTACCTTCACAAAATACTTTTACTTAAAATTTTGTTTTTGTATCCCTTAAGAAACGATAAATCCATATTTTGAACATATTTTTTGTTGATTTTTTAATATAATGTTTAATTTTTCACAAATTATGTCTAAAGTTTCACAAAATAGGTACCTCTTAGAAAAACCTAGACTGAACCCTGATTACTTTAAAGTGGTTTTAAACATGACAGTAATTTCAATAATTGTGTCTATTTGCTTCCTTAAAGGACTATTCAATTTACTAATTTTTATAAGGATAGTACATATAAAATAATGAGCATTCTCATTTTGCTAATTTAACTGATAAATGCCAAATTGCTGCAAACAGCAAAACCGGAATAGTAAAAAGATACCTTTCCTTCAACCACACACAAGCATATTAAACTACGTTATATTCCTTTTTTCTTAGAACAAAACAAAATATAGAAATTACTTGTACCAGCAGGAATATTTTCGTATCATGATCTACGCTAAAATAATCGCCAAGACATGGCGACTTCTGAGTAGTGGTCTGCGAAAAACAAAAGGGAAAAAAGCATCAGAAATTTTCAAGTTTAAAATAAAATTTTTAACTTGGTGATTGTAGTAGGCGAAGGGAGATTTCTGTATCCTGATCTGTGGCAGAATAATCACCAAGTCTCGGTAACCTCCAGACAGTGGCCCACTAAAAACGAGATGATGAAAAAACATCGCAGAAAGGGACCAGCGGCTTGCGAGGAACTAAAAAAAAAAAACATTGCAGAAAAGGACCAACTCAAAAAGTTTAACTTGTAGCCACCTCCGGGCAAATATCTACTTTTATTTTTTTTAAAAATGGCAAATTTAAAATCTAATTGGAATTTTGGCGATTGTAGTTGGGGTGACAATTCACGAAACGGAAATATTCCCTGTAAATAAATAGACAAAATGCATACATAACTTAGTGCATACAAAAATTTTGAAAATGTTTCATTTAAACCACAACCTATTTTATTTTCAGATTTGGCGAAAATGGTCAACGGAATTGTAATGTAAGTACCCAGACATATATTTATTTAAAAAAGAAAGATTTTAACCATTAGGTACTATACAATTTTATAATCAGAGAAAAAAGTTGAATGAGACACACAAATCTAAACTTATTATTGAACAAATCTATATCACTTATAAAGTCAAAAATAACACTCACTTGAATTATGACAAGACATGCAATATCAATTCTAAACTTATAACTGAAAAAATCTATATCACATAAAATGTCAAAAATAACACTTACTTCTCTAATAATCTGATTAACAGTTTCATCTGGCTCACGAATATCTCCGGTTCCTCCGACCATAGGCATGTTTACAAAGTGTTTTCAGTACCGAATCGTACAAAAAATTGGTAAAACAGTTTACAATGCTCCAATATTATAAGGTTAGATTACATTAGTCATGGGCTTGTCATAGTCATATGCTCGTTGCAGATTGCAGAAAATAAACAAGATATCAATCGATGTTTCCTAGTGATAGTGAAATCTTTCGCATTGAATATTTTGAACTTTTAAGTTACTGTAACAAGCAACAAATTTCTTTTACGAACGAAAGCGAGGAGAAAACGCAAACAAGTAAAAAAGTGCGACGAGCTACTTGCGTAAATTTATTCGTAATCTCAGCGCTCGCATACGCCATCTGCTGGGGAGAAGACGGGTTTTGTTTGCCAAGAAGCCCTTCGCTATCCTCCTCTTCTCAATCGTTTCGGAATGTAAAGTGCGCAAAAAAGGAAGAAAACAGACCACCCTGAATTGATAATTAATTAGCGCAGGTGATATATTATGTTACGAAATCAGACATGAAAAGGTACTTTCTCTGAATAAACATACTTTTTTTTTTACGGATTCGGATTTCTGACTCCAAAAATATAAGGGTAACCGCAATCTAGGAAATATGATCCCAATACTTTGGTCGTGCTCCAAAGTTTGGACACCTCAATGTTAAATTTACTTTTTGCGATATTCACTTTATCCCGAGAACTTTTTAACCGTATTGAAGAAACTTTGCACCTAATTTTAAAATTCGTTTATCAAAAAGATAATTATCTGTGACATATAACTCTTAGTAAATAGTTATTATTTTATTTAATAATGGTCGAAAAACTTTTGAATTGTAGGGTAGATAATTTTTTGCATCATTTTAAGGAATATAATTTAAAGAATACACTTTTTAAAGAATATTAAGGCAAAATACAAAATTTAAGAAAAATCGGAAGAGTAGTTTCTGAGAAATGGAATTTCAAACATCTGAAATTTTTGAATTCAATTTTCTCATGAACTATTAACTTTCTTTAAAAAGGATGCAAAAAATTGTATAGCTTGCAATTCAAAGTTTTTTCGACCATCATTAAATCAAATAATTAATATTTTCTATAAGTTATTTTTTTGCATGAATTCATCGTAGGAAAAACAAATTTTATAACTATGTGCAAAAATGTTTCTATTTGGTTAAAAAGTTCTAGAGATAAAGCAAAATACACAAATTAACACTAAACATACCATAACTGGTCAAAAGACCTGTTAATGTATGTTGTATTGTACTGTATTGTATTGTAAAGTGTTGATATGTTTAGTATTAACATCAAGGGGTCCAAACTTTGGATCGCTCTCCTGACCAAACTAGTTTGATCATATTTCCCAGATTGTTACGGGTACGGGTGTGAAATCCGAATCCATAAAAAAAAGGTATGTTTATTCAAAGAAAATACGTTAAAGCGTCTGATTTCCTAACTTAAAATATCGTCTGCACAAATTAATTAGCATATTTGAGGTCACCCCATTTAACCATTAAGACTGAGTCTTAGAAGGTGAAGATCCAGTAATTAGATCAAAAGTTATTTCAGAGTGCTCCATTTTTTTTNTTTTTTTTTTTTTTTTTTTTTTTTTTTTTTTTTTTTTTTTTTGCGCACAGTACGATATTTTTCCCTTTCTTAATATTTTTAGTATTTACTTGTCAAAAATATTGTCTAAAATTTCCACAACGTTTTCTTCCAGAACAATGTTCGATGTAGTTTTCAGTTACATATAGTTTCCCATATTATGTTTTTAGTCTATCTGAAAATTAAGAGAGAAATTGGTGCACTTCCTTCTCCTATGACTCTCCACACGCTACTGGGGATAGGATACAAAGTAGTGCCATAGGTAGAGAGTTATGCTCTACACTACCTGTAGCCAATTTCGATCATCAATTTGCGACCGCAGCGCCCGAATACATCATCTGGAGAGAAAACCGGGTCTATGTCTTGACCCTTCTCCTTTCCCTCTCCTCCTCTTCTCACTTATATAGGAATGTATTACGATATTTTCCCTTTTCTAAATATTTTTCGTATTTAATTGTCATAAATATTATTTAAAATTTCCACGACGTTTTCTTTCAGAACTATGTTCAATGTAGTTTTGAGTTCCATATAGTTTCCTAACTTAAATGTTTTTAATCTATTTGGAAATCAAGAAACGTACTTTCTTCTCCCATGACTCGCCACACGCTACTGGTGAAAGCAAGCGAAGTGTTGCCATAAGTAGAGAGTTCTGCTCTACGCTACCTGTAGCTCATTTCGATTGCCAATAGCTTTAGATAGAATAATTTTTAAAGTAGTATGCATTTTATTTTTGCCCAAAACTTATAGGTAAACTATAAGACTATTATAGGGGATAAGAACTACTCACTTTTTGCAGGGGATTCCAAAAAGTTTTAAATCCAGAAATAATTCAGATAACGCTCAATTATATACTTAAGTTTTCGGTTTTGTTTAGTATCGATTTTCAGAACCTGATTTAATTACATCCGAAGAGATGATATTTGCTTATAAAATTACAGTTACGATTTTTATATATCTGTTTTTATTATAATTTAAGTATAAATTCTTATTTTACAAATTTTTGCGTTATAGTAAAAATCCAACATAACAAATACCAAACTAAGACTTTTTGAATTTTATTAGTTCAAGGATTTAGAGCTTAACTTTCGGCTTCATGCACAAAATGATGAACGCAAAAATTGTATTTAAAATTAACATCCGTCCGTTTGGTAAGCAAAAATATTAAATGACAGCTGTGAACTCACCAAATTTGTCATAACAATACACTTTTAATTTTAAATGCTATTTCAAAAAATTATTACTTAGAAAAACTATTTATGTTCATTAATAGATTTTAATAGTATCATAAGGGAAATATTTGTACTTGGGAAGTGGAGGGACAAATGTTCCTTTAATTACGTACATTTTTAGTTGAATAATTTCAACTGTTTTGTGCAAAAAACAGCAATTATTGCGAAGCAATCATTGGGGTCAGTAAGCGTCAGCGAACAGAGGGTCTTTACCCCTAGTTTTTTCATAAAATTTCAAAGTTGTAACAACTCTACTCTATATAGTAAATGGATGACTGTTTATATGTATGTTAGAGGCCAGGATAGCCTGGTTGGTAAGGCGTTGAACTCGTGTTTGCGAGCATGGGAGTTTGATTCCAGCCGCCCGAAGAATCCCCGTGGATTAAATGGTGAGTGGTACACATTAAATCTGTCGGGGTCACAAAGTCCTGCAAGTTCCCATAACAAATCAATACCTCTGGGGGTACTGATCCAGGAGTTTCCTTAAATTCTGGATTGGGTTCAAAATTACATGGCTACGAAGTTGAACATTGATAGTCGTAAACTTTTATTTGGGTCAGCTGTTAAACGACGGTTATAAAATTAAATGTTACGTTACTGTAAAGTGTGAACTCTGGCATTGTGTATTGCCAATGCATTTTGAAGAGCAATAAAATAATTAATAGTTGGATTAACTGGGATGTAAATTCAACAGGGATGGGAGGGTCATTTCCCAGTGTACATAACACACATGCTTCCCACACTGCTGTTTTTTTCTTTTCCTAATAAAGATAAACGACCACAGTCAAGTATGCTCCAACCTACTGATATTCATTCCCAGATAGCAAAATAAGGTTTATTTTCACTCAGCAAAAACCTTTTATTGTAAACCTAAAAAGGTTTGTTATGCGGTTTACGTGTAAACCTCCTAACCATAAAACGAGGTCTGCGACAATCTGCTCTAATCTACGCACATTACCCAAATCCAAAACCTTGGAAAACAACTTTCTATATAAAAACCTTAAATCGAGGTTGGCTTAGGGTTTTCAAGCGTGAAAAAATTATTTCATAAAGCTAGTCTCTAGATGAAAATAATCTTGAATCTAGGTCATTATAAGGTTTCTTTTCGCAAAGTCTTGTATGCTCAGCTAAAATCCACCTTATCGTGAAATTTTAATGAACAATGCAATTTGATCCTATCTCTAGTGTCATCATTTGCGGACCTGTCATTTCAAGACGTAAAAATCGTCATTTGAAAAAAAGAATCGATCAAAAAACACTTATTATAAAACACGTCTTACCTCGTCAACTATATACCAACTTCGAAATTTAAACCTGAATGATAATTTGTAAAATGAACTTAACTTCTCGACTCGAACAATATGCTGACATTAACGTATAATGGTACAAGGCTTGCAACAAGATAAGAAATAAATAAACAAATAAAAAGAGATCAAGTCAGAACTGCCAAAAAAGCCAGTTCTTTCTAAATATAGCAAACATGTCACCTTTTTTAACAATACATCTATAAATAACTAAAACAAATGTTCACTTCAAACTCACCAGGTCCCGCAGTGCACTGATCTTAAAGACGTTTCCCAGTAGAAAACCGAAGTCAAGCATTAGTGACTGAGGTCAGAAAGCGGGTGGGTGACCATTTTGATCAGCCTGCGTAGGGACCGAGGTTGTTTTTGTGTCAGTCCTCGCTAAACTGTTCTACCGCAAAATGCTCGATTTCGAGCAGGTTATCGGGCTACCAATGCAGAGAGACTTCCCTTCTACAGAGCATCAAAATTGCGATGGCATGTTTTCAAATCATCCTTAGGGATTTTTCCTAGACCGTCCGCCTATAACCCATTGCGCAGCTCTAGTGCGACGTAAATAAAGTACCTACCTAGGAAACTCACCAGAATTACCTAATATCATTCATATCCTATGAAATACAGCGAATTTGAGCTCAGAGATTGTATAAGTCATTTCTTTTTCTAAAAACAAAATTATCTGTTTGAAAATATCGCCTCACAGAATTAGCTGTAGGAAGCTTGCTATTGTTTACATTCAGTCAACCATCCATTGTATCACAGTTACGTAACATAATTAATGTGCTGAACGCACATATTGAATTTCCCTTTATGGCGCTGACCATGCCCTATTTTGAGTCCATAATTCGGGACTTGTTCCCCCAGTATAAAGATTGCACAAATCTTGAACAGAAATAACTCAAATATCTTAAGAAAATTACTTTTACTTACAGTAATTAAATTACTCAGAAATTCCTCGTACAGTTATTACTGAAATGACACTTTTATGCAGCTTATAATGTACTGTTGACGAAATGTCTCATTAACTTAAACAAATAAACCAGGGTTAAAGGTCAAAGAAGGTGACACATGGAACCTTCTATTGGCCACCATAATATTTGAGGGGGGTATTACTTCAAAGCAGGAACCCTGCTTTTAGTTAAAATTATGAGATAAATAAAAAGTTTTACAGGAATGTCGAATAATGAGAAAAAAATTAGCACAATTCAACACTTATTATAAACTCATATAGAGAAATTATTACAAGCAAATTCTTACAAAAATCATCGTCTACAACAAAAGAAAATTAAATTAAATACCAAAATATAAGTAAAACTAAATTATTCTAAAACATAAAATGACACAGACAATTATAAAAAACAGTAATATCAGAAATGAATTAGTTGACTAAGGATCTCGATTGGTATATCGGTAAAATCTCAATGGATATTGTTTCATTAAGTCAGTCTCATCTATCTTACTTATTCATAATATTTATCTGATTCCATAAATTACTCTCATTTCATCGGAACCGGGGGTCAGTGGGGATTTTAGCCCCTCATTTTTTCTGAAAGAAGGTGACTCAGGTGAAATTACGCATTTTCACACAATATTCGTGAAATTTAATTTATAATTAAAAAATCAGATAATTTTTTAATTATTCGTGAAGATAACTTTTTGTTATTACATAGGACAAAAATATCTTTAATTGTAAGCATCGTATATTTTTTTTAAAAATTGTATTTTCAATTTTAAAAAAGTCTTGTAAATACAGTCGAACCTCGCTAACTCGAACCTCACTTTCACGAATTTTTCGATATCTCGAAGAAAAAAAAATTCCCTTCCAATTTCTTATACACTCAGTTTTAAAAAAAACTTGATTTCACGAATTTTTTTTTCTAATCCCACGATAACTTGAATTTTTTTTCTCCTTAAATAGTGTAGATTTTTCTTCTGAAAACAAAAAACTATTCCAAAAAAAAAAAAAAAAAAAAAAAAAAAAGAACAATTAAGAATAGAAAACCAATTCTTATAATGATAAACTTTTTAAAAAAAAATGGACATAAAGACGTTAGTGGCACGGAATGATGTGTCTTTCTCTACGATAATGAATGGCTTCAAGAAGGCTGGATTTATTAAAGATCACGAAAGTAGTCAAACAAACAATATCGTTAATTATGCTGAAAACTACACCGAAAATGATTGGGACAGATTGACCGGACTCATGAAACTTATGATGACATGGAATTTCATGACTTTGTAAACGTAGATGATGCAGTAACAGTGTGTGGTCAGTGGGATGACAATGATATCATTGCTCAAACGAAAGCTTCTTGTGGACTATTAGAAGAAAAGGACGAGGAAATCAGAGCAGACATTTAAAGCTGTAGTCCACTTAGAAAGTGTTACAGACAAACTTCCTTACATCTCTGAAGCAAACAACAATTGAATCTTTTTTTAAATGAAAGTTTAAAAAGTGTTTTTAGAATAAATATGGAATAGTAAATAAGGTATGTAAAGAGCATTTTTCTTCATTCTATCATCGATAACATGCGATTTTCGACAATTCGAATTTTTTCTCCTCTCCCTTCAAGTTCGAGATATCGAGGTTTGACTGTATTTAATTGTGAGTAATTTAAGGGGGGGGGAGTGATATAAGTAAATATGAGCCCTGCTTAGAGAATATATATGTATATATAACCTATTTACAGTGGATAACCTAAATTAATCCTTATTTATCTACTGTACGGATAATAAGAGGGGTTCCAAACCAACCCTGAAGCTATTACTACCAGATAGCGAAATGAGGTTATTTTCACTCAGCAAAAACCTTTTAATGCAAACCTAAAAAGGTTTGTTATGCCGTTTTTGTGAAAACCTTCTAAACTTAAAACGAGATCTGTGATAATCTGCTCTATTCCACCAACATTACCTTGATCCAAAACCTTGGAAAACAACCTTCAATCTAACTTTAAATCGAGGTTGACTTAGGGTTTTCGAGCGTGAAAAAAACCCTTTCATAAAGCTAGTCTGAAGGTGTAAATAACCTTAAATCAAGGTAATTATAAGGTTTCTTTTCGCAAAGTCTTGTATGCTCAGCTAAAATCCACCTTGTCATGAAATTTTAATGGACAATGCAATTTGATCCTATCGCTAGTGTGACGTCAGCTAATACGTCATTATGAACCTAAGTGACAATATTTTTTAAAAAAGCTTTAAAAACAATTTTTTTTAATAAAATAAATAAAAACAATTTTTTTTAAAGGTTTAAAACTGCAATATTTTTGCTTTTATTTGAAAAAAAAAAGGTTTTTAGTACAGACATTTTCCTGACAATAAAAAGAAAATTCCGACACAAGGTTGTCGTAANAGGATCGGCGCGGCGAGAGATACTTCAAAGGAGTGAACCAGCCCTTCTATTCTCTTTAGCCCTGATTTGATCCTATCTCTAGTGTGACGTCAGCTAAAACGTCATGATGATCTAAGGGACAATATTTTTTAAAAAAGGTTTTAAAGAAAATAATTTTAATCCTTTTAGGATGAAAGGTTTCAAACTGCAATATTTTTGCTTTATTTGAAAATAAAAAGGTTTTTAGTACAAACATTTTCGTGACAATAAAAAGAAAATTGCGACACAAGGTGTTCGTAAGGTTACATGATTTCTGAGTGTAGAACTGGGTTTGAGCTGCACGTATCCTGTAATGAAAACTGTTCTTTTTTTTTAGAGAAAAAATGAAACTCAGCATTATTTGAGTTATTACTCAGCATTAATTGAGCATTTATGAAACTCATCATTAATTGAGCCTTTATGAAACTCAGCATTAATTGAGCATTTATGAAACTCAGCATTATTTGAGTTAAAAGCGCGTTTCATTTAATCTGGTATCACTATCAATGCCACCATTATGATGTTCTCCTTTCGTTGAACGATGGTGGTTATTTCCCTCCGCCACGCTGTTGACCTCCCATATTCTGCAGAGCTCGTCCTCCAAATCGGTCAGTCTCGAATCTGCGTCCTCCTCGATGTCACGACGTCTGTCGAATGTCCGATTCTGCTCTTCGCTCATCGCAACAGTCTCACGAGATTCGTTGATCAGTCTCATGTTTTGAAATTCCTGAACCCTCAGTTCGAGGAGAGTGTCGGTGGTTTTTTCTAAGTCTATGGGCGACATCACGTGGTCTGCCAGCAACGACCGACAGCGCATGCCCCTGGACGAGCTGTCTATGGTGAAAGACTTTTCCACTTCCAAAGCGACATTCGGTAGTGGGCGATGGCAGTCTGAAGGCAAGAATGAAGACAAACATCCTCCAATGACGGCTAGAAACCCGTAGAGTGCGAGTGGGAAATTATAGACATTCTCCAGTTCCTGCAACAAAGACAGAAAGATGCCAAATGTATCATTCCAAAGAGTAAACGAACACTTTATAGAATTATTTTAATTGTAAGAAAGACAAAGGCGTAAAATTCAGATTTTTTTACAGCAGGTACTAAATTTTCGTCCTTCACCTTTGAAGATGCCGGAAATGTTGCTCATTTATTGTTACCCAGTGGACACCTGTGAGCCTAAGTCATGGAGGCGAGCAACATTACCCACGCTACAATGCCGCAGATGCCCGCTTATAGGGTGGGCCACATTCATACATCACACAGCAGAGAACAACAGAGAGACAAACATTCATTCCCTGAGCGGGATTCGAGCCCGCAACCACTGACTTCACTGCCAAGCACGCTGACCGCTCGGTCACCTGGCCAGCAAAAATTCTGAAATGTAATAAGGGCCATTACAGAAATCTTGAAGATAATTTAAAATGGGATACTTTCAAGTGACGTAGTGTGGGTATCTCGAGTCTGATTGGTTGTTTAAACGTGGATTTGTTTACGCTAGCAACTGTTCTTTCCATTCCATTTCGAGTTAACTTACCTCGTGAAGTATCAATTCTCTTAAGTGATACATTCTATAATCCTTTACAAAGATTCTTTCACGATGATTTACATTTTTTCACCATTTATTTCTTGCTTAACACAAAGACAGACACGAAGTCTTGTAGAATAAACAAACTAATTATGCATCGAAGTTGCCAGGTACACGAAACAAAAATACACAGCGTGTTGCAATAAAATACATAAACAAATAATAAATCTTAGAAAGAATTATATTTCAACAAATTCAATGTGCGATACGCCACTGTATTTAATTAACTTCACGCTAATTAACATTCAAACTCGTGTGGAAAAACTGGTCCAGCAGTGAACTGATCGTTAAGACACGGTTCCTAGAAGGTCACCTTAGTCAAGCATCACTGGTTGCGGTCAGTGTGTGGGTGGGTGATCACTTGGATCAGTCTGTGTAGGGACCGAGAGTGTGCGGTATTGATCCTCGTTAAACTGTTCTACCGTAAAGTGCTCGACTCGTGCAGGTCGTCGGGCTGCTGAAACGGGGGTGCTATCCCCTCTGCAGAGAATCAAAATTGCGACGGATCATCCTCAGGGATGTTTCCCAGACCATCGCCAATAGCTCATTGTGCAGCTCTAGTGCGACGTAAAATGAACTACAACAGTATGTGGAAAAACTTGGCTCAACTTCGACACGCCATTTTGTTTATTGGCGATCAGATCGCACTGACGTCATAGGTCAAATGTGTGAATATGTTTGATCATCTGGAAGTGCAAGTATCCAATTAATCTTTTTTGTTTTTGAGGATAACTGTTAGCCGAGATTATGGCCAAAACGCAAATACTTCGTTCCAAATCAAGATAAAAACCGGTAATGAAACCGGCCTGTTCCTCTCTCACAAAGAAACAAAACATATCAATACAGGTTGGATCCAATTCCTGACTTCGAATATTAAGAAAAGTTGAGACAAATATACACAAAGGAAACGAAACAGTAAAGAGATCACACGTCTTCCTTTATATCGCTTAAGGGGATAGTCGCCCACTCGGTGTCGTGGGTCAAGTCTTCACCTACCACGGCTAGATCCGGGATTCGATTCTCCGGTTTAGGTGACTGATCAGACTGCATATTCTCCGAAATTTGTCAAAATGTGAAAATATTTAATTTTTAGTTTTATCGAAAATTATTATAAAATAATTCAAATAAAATTTCCTCTAATATCTATAGAAGTGGATTGTGTGGCTGGAAGAACGTCCACCAAACTCATTCCGTGCAGCTAGTTAAGTGTCCCTGACCGGTATACTTTTGCCCGGTATGCCCTACATCAATGTTTTTTAAGGTTCACTGCCCGGTATGCCCTACATCAATGTTTTTAAGGTTCACTGCCACTGCCCGGTATGCCCTACATCAATGTTTTCTTAAGGTCAAGTGCCACTGCCCAGAATGCACTTAACCGGTACTCCGAACAATTATGTTTCTCCTAATCTATCCTCAGCAGATATTAAAATATTGAATAAATATAATAAATCGGCATTTGCAATACATTGAGAGGAAAACTACGAACACCTACCGCGGTTAGCCTGGCGGCAAGGAAACTCTAATCCGTCTACCACTGAAGATATTTTACGTCAGCATTGTGATCGGTGCAAGCCTTGTGCGGAATCCGTATCAAGCAGCCACCACTGGGATTCAAATCCGGTTCACCTCATTGGAAGGCGGACGCTCTATCCCCTGAGCCACCACGACTCAAGTGATATTTGGAATAGTTCACAAAGCTCAGAGGGCCGTGACAGCCTGGTTGACAGAGCGCTGAACTTACGCTCGTGAGGAAGGATTTTTGAATCTAGCCGGTCAAATGATGGCTGGTGCACGTTAAATCCGTCGGGTCACAAAGTCCTAAATGCTCCCATAACAATTATAACTCTACGCGTTCTGAATTGGAGATTGATCGCTCCCTGGTTCAGGTCAAAATTGCGATCTGTGGATGAATAAATGAGTCCGCCATATAAATCGGAGCGACGTAATGGTTGTGGCTGAAGTCATAATCTTTGACATAGATGGCAGCACGAGAACAATCGCTTACTGACAACAAAGCTCAGAAATGCTATTAGGTCTAAGGCATACCTGCCAACTCTTCCGGATTTTCCGGAAGATTTTATTTTTATATTTAAAGTGGTAGTAAATATATACTATTTTTTCATTTATAAACTTAATTTTTAAATGATTTTGATCACCACTATTCTTACAAAAATTAAGCACATATATTAATATGCGTTACTATCATGGTTGTCAACTTAAATTTTTTCAAATGCAACGTATTTGTTTGCTTAAAATTGAAGTTTTAATTTCATTTCAATACCACTGGGAAAAATGATAATGGAAGGGATTAAAAGTTGGCAGGTATGGTCTAAGGGTATTATCGTAGTGCATGGCAAGTCTAAACCACGCAAAGCAATAGAGGAACATCTGCTGTAATTCTGACCCCTGTCATCTCCCCCGATTTTATTGTTTTAATTGTGTTTCAGGTAGTAAATTGTATGCATTTAATTCGTTGAAGGAAAAAAAGAAGAGAGAAAACTTACTAGGAGAGAAAAGCCCATGAGCCGTGCTGTTCTAAACCAAAACAAACAGGAACCCAAACCGATGCACCTGCAAGACATTTAATACACACTAAATTAATAATGAGCATGTTTTAAAGAAGTAAGAATTTATAAAGAATATCGGTAAAAAATGTTAAAGGTGTAAAATAATTTTTCCATGCATTTATATTACCACTAAAGTGTATAAAACAGTTATTCTTCAAATTACCAAGCTAATACAGCGTGCGTAGCCAAATTATTCAACAAAAAATAAGCACCTTTTAAGCACTTTTCAAGCACTCAAAAAATATTTTTCAGCACTTTAAAAAAATATCATAACTAGGCAGGGTTGGAAAGTTTTTGACAATCGACGGTTTTATCTCATTTTAACCGTGATGTCAAAAAACAACAACAACCTTTTGCATTGTTTTTGACAATAGTCAAAAATCATGAAATTTTGAATCATGTAAAACGAATGACGTTTTCATGCGCTACGGGCTGACTATACGCCGAAATAGATTTTGGTTGAATTAATTATGAAAACGTTGAATAGAACAATGTGAACTGTGCCTTTTTGCGTAATTCGAAGCAAAAATCAACATAGTAAAGGAAAAACCTCATTTTGAGAAACAGAAAATGAAGCACTTTTTGAAAACACCCAATGAAAAAAGCAGCTTTAAGGGCTTTTAAAAGATGAAAATTGAAAATAATCACCTTTAAGCGCTTTTTAAAAACGCTACGCAACCTGTCATATGCAAATTAACTGAAGTGAAGTTTCAAAAAATTGTCTCATTTCTCAAATTACCAAGTAATCTGCGAATTGCCTAAAAATTTTGCACCAGCGAAGCCCTCGTTTGAGCGATCTTCGCTATAACGCTTCTTTAAATTTACATGTTCTTCATTTTTTTCGCTGTCTGAAGGAAATTAACATAATGCTATTTATTAATTTTACAATAACTAAAGAATCAAGTTAATAGTTATTTGACTGAATGAGAGATGCTAACTTTCGAGCTTTAACAATACGGAAGCCGTTAATGTTCACTTTACCTGAGTAAAAAGTTAAAAACACTTGATTCCGCACTTTAACGGAGCAAATTAGCCTGCAGATTAGCAAAGCAATGTGCAAATTAACGGCTTTCAAACTTTAATGTGACACGTGGAGAGTTTCTAAGAGTTTCACGTCTTTTTATTTTATGAAATGAGTATTTCAGAGAACTCACCTGACTCCCGTGGGAAAGACTTTCAGTGTGAAGAATGTGCACGTGACGATGGCTGATCTGATGCAAGATTTACCCACGACAGCCAGAATGGGTGATACGAAAAACACAATGTGACTCACGCTTTCTGAAATGAGAATAGAAAGGTTTTTGATAAAGAGCAGAATCGGATATATTCTCTGAAAAACAAATAAAAAGGAGAATTTTGTTTTGCTTGCAACGAATATTCATAATTTATTTATATTTATAACCGTAGCTGAACGACCGATCCAATTTTTTTTGGGCTTACGACTACTAAGGTTCAACTCCATAGCCTTGTCATTTTGAAAACAATCCATTAGACAAGGGAACTCCTGGATCAAGATATGTTAAATATCTTAAGTTATTTAGTCCACATAAACCTATATTTTAAAGATATCTTCAGATTATACTTTGAAGATTTTCTTCAGATTCTATTTTGAAGATTTTCATCAAATTCCATTTTTAAGATTTTCTTCAGATTCTATTCTGAAGATTTTCTTCAGAATATATTCTTAAGAATATCTGAAGTTATTTGGCCCACGTAAACCTATATTTTAAAGATATCTTCAGATTATACTTTGAAGATTTTCTTCAGACTCTATTTTGAAGATTTTCTTCAGATTCTATTTTGAAGATTTTCATCAAATTCTATTTTGAATATTTTCTTCAGATTCTATTCTGAAGATTTTATTCAGATTCTATTCTTAAGAATATCTGAAGTTATTTGTCCCACGTAAACCTAAATCTTAATTATATTTTGAAGATTTTCTTCAGAAAATATTCTTAAGAAAATCTGAAGAATGAGTGGGCCAAATAACTTAAGATATTCTTAAGAATTTTCTTTAAGAAATTCTTAAGATTATTCTAAGTGGGGAGTATTGTAAGAAATTTTTGCCTTCGTGGTGGACTTTTTGATGGAACTAACCCACATTTGTGTTACATAGAGAGAAAAAGCACGAAAGCCACCCATGGTTAGCCTGACGGCAAGGAGACTTTAATCCATGATCAGTCTACCACTGAGGATATTTCACGTCAGCACTGTAGTCGGTGCGAGTCGGGTGTGAAATTAGTATCGACTAGCCTTTGCTGGGATTCGAACACTGTTCTTCTCATTGGAAGGCGAACGCTCTATCTCTTGAGCCATCACGGCTCTTGCAACATATGTAGTTTAAAATTCTGTTTTTTTATTTTGGAAAACCCGAATAATTTTTTTGAAAAATAACTGGCGTAAAGTTCATAAATGAAAATGGCCCTTTAAGTACGTCAAACTTAAACAAATTTAAATTTGAATTTCACGTCAATTTTTAATTTGAATTTCTGAGGACTGAAGAGTAGTTTTAATTGCATTTTTTATTAATTCGTTTAACAGGCAATAAACTCTCAAACTAATTACAAAATGTTGAAATCTATTTCTTCCACTGTAATCCCAGCATATTTTTCTATACACCTTCGCAATTTTAAGTTTCTAAGTCTTACAGTTTTTGCGTAACAAAACAAAAAATAACATGAAGCAAAAAAAGTGAAAATATGAAGAAAAAAAGCATTTAAAATAGTAATAACTTTTGAACACATTGGAATTTTCAAAATTCTCACGTAATGTTTCTAAATAAAAAACACCTCTTTCAGAGCACAAAATTTTAATTCTGAGTTGTATTTCAGCGGACTGCAAAGCGCCCTGCATGATATATTTTACTACAAGTTAAACAGTTAATAAATTCTCGAACTAATTATCCAGTAATATTAATTAATATTACATCCTACATTTTTCCCTTAAAAAATCTCTTAAATCGTATTAATCTGCAAAATCTGTAACTGTAAAATCATGAATTGATAAATCCCCTTATCAATTCATGATTTTACAGATCTTCGACACCTGCACATAAAAAAAAGTGCAGTGAAACCATCTCTCTGGAGCGACCACTGCCCGTTCCACTTCAAAATCCACTGTAAAATCCACTGTCCGTTCCACAGTCGTTGATGGAAGTTCTTAGAGGTTATCTCGAAAAATTGTTATCGAATGGTCCATAGTCCATGAGAATCAAACTTCTCTTGATGATTAGCCACCATAGTATTAAAGTAGCCATTTCATCAAGGAATTCTTGTGAAATGGCTACTTTATGGAATGATGGAAGTTTGTTGGCCTATCAAAACCCATGAAGTGAAAGTGGGATGATGGTGACCATCATGAATCGCACTGAAACCTTCAAAATGTAAAACAATCACAAAATGTTTACTCACTGAAAAAGGGGGTGTAACTTAGGAGAGCGGAAGCTGTACAAGATATTCCTCCGAACACTAAAACACACGCATGCGCAGAACGGGGACCAAACCTGGAAATAACATGCGGGATGAATTCAAAATAAAAACATTACATTAACAAGAAAGACAGCAAATAACTTTTGTTTCAATTCACTAAGAACCAATATTAATTATTTAAAGAGTTGACCTCAAATATGTTAATTTATTTGTGCTAACTACGAGGGTTGTTTTTTAAGTAAGGGCCGTTTTGTTGCAACGAGTGCTTGCGTCGTGTCCCGGCATTCCTTGGGAACAACTGCTTTCAGTTGCAGCTATGTCAATAAACTGTACGCTCAGTAGTTTTGTGTCTTTAAAATGTTCAAATTTAACAAATCACCGCCACGTCCGAGATACGATGCGTTTTTAGTCTGCAATAAAACCTAGCATTTATCTGACTTCAAGCATTTACAGTGATACATAAAATTCAGTTTTATAAAAATTCATGGCTGTTAAAAATTTTAGATGAATAGAGTAAGATGCCATGCACAAAAAATTAATAATCTTCTTTCATTGAAAGAGTTGTTTGAGATTAGGGACAAACGTTTTAACTCATACACTACTCAAAATAATTAAACGATATTATAAATAATGGTATAAGCAATTTTTTTTTTGTGTGCATAAGATGGAAGAAGAGAGTGACAAATGCAAATTTTTCATATTTTCAAATTTCACATTCTGCCTATTTTGAGTATTTGAAGCTTTAGCGGCAGCGAATTTGATTTGGCTCTCAACTTAATGTAAGACAAAGCGGGGAAAAATTATAGACATTCAATAAACGCGTTGTTTCTAGGAGCGCGATGTCTCAACGAAGTCATTTAACCGAAACAGAAGTTTGGAGAGTTGTTAAGCGGTTAGAGGGGGGAATACCCCCTACTAAAAAGGATTTTCTTTTAAGAAAAGACCTTTTTTTATATCATCCATTGGCAAAATGGGTGTTGTTTTGGGTTTGATGGCGTGCGCACCTTGTTTGGACGTCATCACACTTTTCAAGTGTGTTCAAGAGTAATAGTTAACAGTGCGTTATTGCACACGTTGCTATGGCGACAGTTGCTCTTTGATAATTTTTTTATAATTGTTTTTTTTTTCACTTTTAATGTTGTCGTGCATTAAGTTGGGGAGTTTATTTTTGAGATATGGGAGCAGAAACATCCCCTAAATATTTCTTGAGTTCATCATTTGAACGATATTTTTGTTTTAATTGTTTTAATAAAGAATCGGAAATTCTAACCTACAGTTCAAACAGGATCGTTTTCAATACTAATTCAGGTGAATATCACACATAAAGAGGGTAAAAAACAAAATTAGACAACAACCTTTTTGCCAATGGGTAACATGTGATCGCCGAAAGGCGTGCCTATTGGCAATTTTTTTGTTGTTTGTTTTCTCTTATGCACAATTTGTGTTTTTTCCTTTTGTCCCCAAATGCTCATTAAAACGCATTTTTTTCTGTCAAACAAAAGTAATTTATACCTCATATAACCTACTACGTCTGTCGATAAAGTATCAATCATTCAAACAATTCTCCAAGTGCAAGATCAACTAACAACCTCACTATCCTTTCATTGTTTTGAGCAGTGTACTTAAAACCCTTTTTTTATTTATTTGAAAATTGAAATGAATAAATAATGTGGAATACTATAAAGAACAGACCTTTGGGCGAAGAAAAACAGAATGATGATGATTCCAGTATCGATCAGACCTTTAACAAACAACAGAGCATACTGATTTCCTTTCAGTGCAGGAAGATAGGAAGAATCTGTCTCCAACGCTATTACGAACCTGATAATAAGTTTTGTTCTATTATAGCAAGAACGCTCAGCGGTTAAAAAGTTTAAAAAATATAATTACATCATTTGATACAAAAAAAAAAATTCTTATTCGATTTCATGTATACTCTATATGTATAGTTCCCCAACCCCCGGTCCCGGCCCGCGACAAATGGTACCGGGCCTCCCATTTCATTGAAACTGAATTTAAATTCCTATGTTTATACCCCAAATTAAATATATCTGGTAAGGGATGGATCTGCGACCCATTTGTCAACAAATCGGGCGAATCTAGCATGTCTGTGCAAGAAGAAGATCAACTGCTGGAGATTGCAAATCACGGTGTCCTTAAAACTACGTTCGAGACAACTCTGCAGGTGCTCTGAACTTAAGTAATGGCAGAATACCCCGAGATTGACACCGCAGCACTTAAATCCCTATTGCCATTTCCGACAACCTATCTGTGTGAAGCGGGGGTTTCTGCAGTCAAAGCAACGAAATAAACTGGACATAAGCAACACACTTCGGGTGTCATTGCCTCCGATTACCCCGTAAGATGGAACTGTCTCATCGCAAAGAAACATGGTCAGGGTTCTCATTGATTTAACGTTCTACTAAGTTAAAATGTTAAATCACTTTATACTTATTTTTTGGTGTAACTGTATTTTATTTTGAAGGCATGTTTAAATACAATTAAATTAAAATTAATAAATCAAAATAATCTAAAATATAAACAATCAACGCCCCCCCACTCCGGGCCGCGGTAAAATTATCAAACGTTGACAGGTCCGCGGTGATAGAAAAGTTGGGAAACACTGCCTTACGTCCGTATTCACCAACACAGATTACCTCCGGGTAATCTATGAGTAAGAGTAAAATCACGAGTTTAGTGCCAAACGTTATTCTCCAGCCGAAATTTCGCCAAACTCGCAGATTTCATCAACAGTTCTGACTCTCCGGGTAACCCTCCATTTTTGCCGTGTTATCGGAGGGTAACCTATTGACGAGGAGCTTGTAAACAAAAAAGATGGAGGATTCTATCGCTGCGTTTGAGCTTGAAGATCTTGAAACTGTAGAAAGAAGGGAAACATATGTCCCAAAAATCAGAAATAATGACCTGAAAAGAGTTAGATGAAATAGACTTTTTTGAAAGATATCATTTCTTAAAACCTCTCCACTTAAATTAGCGATACTAACGCTAATTTGTTTATGCACGTGTTTATATTATATACAAAGTCACATGGTTTTACATTGCCCAATCAAAGGCTTCGTTATATTTCCTGCAAGAGTTAAACTCGAGTTGTGAAATCCTCTGTTGAAACAACACCTCCTAGAAAAGAGTAGGCCTCTGCACGGGTTACCATAAATATCCTTTAGTAGTCCAAACGTAATGACATATATCGTATTTTCAACCACTGCGCAGCTTAGTACCCCGAACGTAATGACATCTTTCTTATTTTTCATCAACTGCGCAGTTAACTTCGTCACATCGGACTACTAAATTGATCCGTGCTGAGGCCTTCATACTTCTAGGATGTGTTGGTTGAAAACGGTTGGAGAATAAAAAGCGAGGGTTAATCCGAGAGTAACTCTGAACCGTGGATATTCCGATCCCCGAGTTAGTCTTGAATTTAACTCGGCGTGGTGAATACGGGTGTTTAAGTGGACTGATCGTAAAGAGAAGGCTCCCAGTAGAACACCGAAGTCGAGCATCACTGGCTGCGGTCAGTAAGCGGGTGGATGACCACTCTGATAAGCCTGCGTAGAAACCGAGGGTGCGTGATATCGGTCCTCATTAAACTGTTCTACCATAAAGTGCTCGACTTCGCGCGCAGGTCATCGGGCTACCGAAGCAGGGGTGTCATCCCCTCTGCAGGGAATCAAAATTGCGATGGCTTGTCTTCGGATCATCCTTAGGGATGATCCGATTTCTGTTTTCTCATCTTGTTTACATCTTATATTGCATTCTATTGGGTTACAAACCCGCTCTGTGTTGATGTTGTTAACATCGTTTTAAATCTGTATTTTATTTCACGTTTCTTTTAAGTCAAAATATGACTTACTTTATGTTAGTTTGTATATCCGATTTTTATAATTAACCTTTGCAGCCTTCTGCTTGGAGGGATGCTGTCGCCATGCGGGCAGCACCCGGTCCTCCTTTGTTTTAAAATTAGGAAACGCTCAATTAATATTCAATTTTAACCTACTGGTGCATTGCAGCTTCAGGATCCCCGACTAAATTACTAGTCAGTCCATCGACCTATTGTGTTACCATCTTTCGTGATCCAGCCTTTTCTTCTGGGTATCCTCTTTTTTTGTACCTTTTTTTTGTCACGTGCACGCCCTGGATGCCCAGTACGGGGGGCGGGACAGGGTTAAGTCGAGCTTAGGGATGTTTCAAATATCATCGCCAATAGCCCATAAGGCGACGAGAATAAAGTACCCACCGAATGAGAGTAGAAAGACTTACCACATGTAATAGAGGATGAATACGTATCTCCTGCAGATGTTGGAGGAGACAACTGTCCCCATGGAGTGAGAGGAGGAGTAAGACCTGAGCTTTTTACAGTAGTTGATGATCCGGAAGCGAAAGTTGTAAGGCAGCGTAGTTTTGTTGAACTTGGCAAAGTGGATCAGCTGCTTCTCTGCTTCGTGAACGTAACCTTCCACCATCAGCCAGGGCAGAGAACGTGGTATCAGCCTAACAAAACAAAGTATTGTATCAAAAATACCTAAAATGTAGCCAAATAAAATTATCTTGAAAATCCACATTTTGTAACTTATTTTTTATTAGTAAATTACCACGCCATCTGTGAACTAAATATGTAAAATCCAGTAAGTCAAATTTAATTTTTCATCTTAATTTTATTTTATGACCGTCGTTGAACAGCCGACCCAGTTTTTGAGCTTACGACTACTAATCTTCAACTCCACAGACTTGAACCCAATCCAGAAAACAACAGAACTCCTGGATCAAGTATTGGGGGAAATTTGCCTTCGTGGAAGACTTTTTGATGGTACTAACCCGCATTTGAGTTTCATGGGGAAGGAAACCACGAAAATGTCTCACTGTTAGCCTGACGGCAAGGGGACTCATATCAATATCGATATTTTTTTAACATCACGATATTAAAATTCTTATTTTTCGTTTATTCTCGATCGCAACGCTCGAATACGTCATCTGGGGAGAAGATCGGTTCCATGTCTTAACCCTCCCCCTATCCCCTCTTCTTCTCAGTTGCATTAGAACGTACTACAATATTTCCCCCTTTCTTAATATTTTTCGTATTTGCTTGTCGAAAATGTTTCTTAAAACTTCCACTACGTTTACTTTCGGAACTATATTTAATTCAGTTTTCAGTTCCACATAGTTTCCCAACACAAAAGTTTATAATCTATTTGAAAATCAAGACAGAAACTAACATACTTCCTTCTCCTATGACTCTCCACACGCTAATGGCGAAAGCATGCGAAGTACTGCCATAGGTTCTGCTCTATGCAACTTATAGTCCATTTCGATCACCAATAAGTTGGAAACAAACTACTGTAAAGTAGTTTACTATGAAAAAAAAAATAATCATAAGAAATTGTTAACATTTGCATTTTGGCGAAGACTTTGGAAAATTGATGAATACTTTTGATATTTGGCTAATTTCTTGGGTAATAATTTGAAATCCATAGTGCTGACCCTGCCTATACCTGGAGCAGCGATGGCTCAAGAGATAAAGCGCTCACCTTTCAATGCGGCGAGCAGGGTTCTAATCCCAGTCGATACGAATTCCGCACTCAGCTTGCACCGGCCACAGTGCTGACGTGAAATATCCTCAGTGGTAGGCGGATCATGGGTTGGAGTCCCCTTGCCGTTAGGCTAATCTGGGGAGGTTCTCGTGATCTTTATGCCCATGTAACTCAAATGCGGGTTAGCTCCATCAAAAAGTCCTCCACGAAGGCAAATTTCTCCCTATTTTTGGTCCAGGAGTTCCGTTGTCTTCTGGATTAGGTTCAAAATAGCAAGGCCATGGAGGTGAACATTAGTAATCGTAAACCCAAAAATTGGGTCGACTGTTCAACGACGGTTGTAAAAATAAAAATGAGGTGAGTGAGTCTACTTACCAAAAATAGCCAAGACAAACTATTCCAGGAGCAGATATGGCCAATTGTGTATATCGCCAGTTTTTGATAAGCCATGACACAACAGATAAAATGATAGTTCCAATGGATATCACTAAACCCAGGCAAATGGTTACTAGTAAGTGACTTTGGAATGGCAGTGTTTCTAACACTAAAGCATATGAGATGCACTGTATCGCCTGCAAAGAAATCTCTTTTAACTTATATAACAACAAAGAGATATTGCAACAGATATTTTTTTTATTTGCAATAAAAACATATCTCATGAAAAAAAACATCTAATCTGTAGCTTCGTAAATTCAAATACAATATGAGGACTTCTTAAAGCGTGGTCTTTTTTTTTCAAGTATTAAAAATTTTAATCTATTTAAAAAAAAAACTGTTAATGTTAATAGTTGGTGTTTTATACACTAGGGAGCGCTACAAGCTCTTGACTCTATATACTTCCGGGTTACTGTTTTTGGTGCGTTTTGAAGCCATTTGACTCGCTACCTGATTTACTTATTGACTGATTGGTTACCTGATTTACTAATTGTGTTTAAAAAAAATAATTGTTATAAGAATTGAATTCTATAACAGTGGTTACCAACTGGAGGGTCCGCAAAGCCTTTTTTTGTGGCCCGCGAACTGAAATATATTAGTTTTCATTTTTTTGTTTCAATTTTCATAAAAAATCAATGTGGGTTTAAAATACTTTTCATTCGTTTAACGAAACATAATTTCTTCGTTTCTGTGAAATTTAACATACCAACGGTGCAAAAAAATTTATTTCTCAGGTTTTGCATCCAAGAAAATATTTATTCAAGTACAAAAATAACTGCGTATGTTGCTCTTTTTTATTTCGTTTTTTTTTTTTTTTTTTTTTTTTTTTTTTTTTTTTTTTTTTTTNTTTTTTTTTTTTTTGCATTTTGTGAATATCTTAATAGCATGTGCGTATCAAAAATTTTCTCGAAGAAATTCTTCCATTTAACTTTTCAAAATCACTCATTTTGTCCGAAATTATTTACATTTGTAAATTTTAAGACGCATAAAAGAGGGAATGAATATGAAGTTTTATTTAAATTCTTTTCCCACACATCGCATGAGTGGGAAAAAATTAATTTCAGATGCTCGAGAATTTTGTTGTAGTTGCTATAATTAATAATAACTCGAAAGAAACGTTAATTTATCACAGAATTAAATTTAAAAGAAAAAAAATCTTGTCACAAAGTTTCTGACTAAGAGAAGATTCAAAATGATACGTAACAAGCATTATTTTTAATGCTTGTTCTTTTTCTTTTTAACATTAAAAAAACTTTGATAAAAATCTGACAGTAATATTTAATATTCCTTCAGACATAAAAGAGTCCTATATAAAATTTTGGTAAAATTGTGGCCCGCCATTTGACTGCTGTTTTTAATTGCGGCCCCCGGTCACATGTAAGTTGGAAACACCTGTTCTATAAGAATCGATTCATCATTTGATGAAGAGTCATTTAACGACATTAGAATTATCATTTGAAAAATAAATTGTTATAAAAAAACTTCTTTCCTTGTTAACAATATACCGACTTCGAACTTTAAACATAAATGATAATTTGCAAAATGAGCTGAGTCTAGCTTCTCGAACAAAATGCTAACATTAAGAAATGATGGTTCATGGCTAGTAGCAAGAACAAACAGTCATAAACAAGTAAAAACAGGCCAAATTTGAACTGCCAAAAAAGCGAATTCTTCCATGTTACCTTTTTCGACAATTAATCTCTAAATAACTAAAACAAATTTTCACTTTTAAGTCACCAGAAGTACTTTAATAGCAATAATATTTTATGTAAAACAGCAGATTTGAGCTCAGAAATTACATAATTTATTTCCTTTATTAAAAACAAAATTATATGTTTCAAAGTATCGCCTCGCAAAAAGAGCTGTAGTAAGCAGCGTTATACTTTCTAACTCTGTAGCCTTGTAATTTTAAACCAATCCAGAAGACAAGGAAACTTCTGTATCAGTATCTTCAGAGGAATAATTTGTTATGGGAACATGGGNAGTCATTTAACGACATTAGAATTATCATTTGAAAAATAAATTGTTATAAAAAAACTTCTTTCCTTGTTAACAATATACCGACTTCGAACTTTAAACATAAATGATAATTTGCAAAATGAGCTGAGTCTAGCTTCTCGAACAAAATGCTAACATTAAGAAATGATGGTTCATGGCTAGTAGCAAGAACAAACAGTCATAAACAAGTAAAAACAGGCCAAATTTGAACTGCCAAAAAAGCGAATTCTTCCATGTTACCTTTTTCGACAATTAATCTCTAAATAACTAAAACAAATTTTCACTTTTAAGTCACCAGAAGTACTTTAATAGCAATAATATTTTATGTAAAACAGCAGATTTGAGCTCAGAAATTACATAATTTATTTCTTTTATTAAAAACAAAATTATATGTTTCAAAGTATCGCCTCGCAAAATGAGCTGTAGTAAACAGCATTATACTTTCTAACTCTGTAGCCTTGTAATTTTAAACCAATCCAGAAGACAAGGAAACTTCTGTATCAGTATCTTCAGAGGTATAATTTGTTATGGGAACGTGGGAGGACTTTGTGACTCGACAGGTTTAGCGTCATGCTATCACCATTTAATACACGGGGGTTCTTCGACAAGATTTTTTATTTATTTTATAACTGCCCTTGAACAGCAGACCCAATTTTGGGTTTACGACAACCAATGTTCAACTCCGTAACCTTGTAGTTTTTAAGCCAATCCAGAAGACAAGGGAACTCCTGGATCGAGTATTGGGAATAATTTGCCTTCGTGGAGGACTTTTTGATGGAGCTAACCCGCATTTGAGTTACATGGAGAGGAAGACCATGAGAACCTCCCACGGTTAAGCCTGACGGCAATGAGACTCTAACCCATGATCCGTCTACCACTGAGGATATTTCACATCAGCACCGTGGTCGGTGCTAGCCGGATGCGGAATTCGAGTTCCCGAGTTGGGAGTGAATCATTGTCCAGAATGTCCACATGCATCTCAGAGTTCATGTTTCCAACTAAAAGAACTAACGAACCCATACCAAACCACGAGAAACACTCCCCACACCATTATGCTTCCATCACCGTAGCAACAGGGATACTTTTGGTCATATAGTGTATTATATTCTAAACAACAAGGAAGGGAATGTTTTACCGTTACAAGAACACCCTGTAGAGAGTATGCCACGGCGAAGAGGGAGAATGTTGCCAAGAAGTGCATGGCCAAGCTGAGTATAGTGTGGAGAAATAAGGCTGCCAGTAAGTTGAACCTTCTGCCATAGCGATCTGCCAACGCACCGAACACAACTCCACCGAGCATTGCACCTGCCGTATGGACATACGGCAGAAGATTCATCAGATATTGTTTCTCGCAGACCAAGTCCCACTGAAACATATACAATACAGATTAATATCTAAAATAGAGTTCCCTGTAAATAGTTTTTTTTTTAGTTATAAGTTTTTCTTTTAACATGTATGAAAATTTTTAAACTAATTAAAATTTAATTTAAAAATGCCAGGGTTGAGTGGTGATCGAAATGGGCTACAGGTGGCGTATAACAGAACTCTCTACCTATGGAAAAAGTTCGATGCTTTTACCATTAGCGCGTGGAGAGTCATAGGAGAAGAAAGTATGTCAGGTTCTCTCATCGTTTTCAAATGGATTAAAAACTTTTGAGCTAGGACAACTACACGGAACTGAAAACTACATTATTTTTAAAAGAAAGCGTCGTAGATATTTAAAAAGATACCTACTTTTACAATTGTATGTTCTTAAATTGTATAAAATAGCTTCTGACTCATTTTCGATTGATTGTATACCTAATACAGGGCATGAAATTTCAGTTCTAAAGATATAATCCAGGATAATATCACGTTCATTCATGAAAAATAGGCACAATTTTTAAATTGTTAACAGATGCAATGTGAAGAGCATTTCGGTGACCAAAACCGTAAAAGAATAAAGACCTTAACTTAATCGAAACATATATATTGGAATTTTCAATAATTATGATAAATCAAAATATGCGTGTCTCTAAGGTTTCAATGTATGAAAAACAATGGCTTCGTGAGTAAAAAGTGGGTAAGTCGACCTTTTTCATTCTAAATTGTACAAAAATGCCGTAACTTCCAGGTACTGCCTGGATGATGCACGATAGCTTATGTAGTTTAACCTTGTAACTATGTTAGAGAACCGTATATCTAGTTTAATTTGAAATAATTTGGTGTAATTTTATTAATCATTAAATTTCTTTCACTAATTTTAATTTTATTAATTTTAGTTAAATAATACTAGTTTAATTTTAATATTTTACGAGGGTTAACTTACTGATCTAGTTTAATTTTATTAATTCAATAAATTTATTTATTTATTAATAAATTTTATTATTAATTTAATTCATTTCGCTAATTTTAATTTTATTAATTTTAGTTAAATAATACTAGTTTAATTTTAATAATTCAGGAGAGTTAAGTTACTAATCTAATTATATATCTATTATTAATTAATTTATTTATTAATTACTTTTATTATTAATTTATTAACTATTTCTATTATTTACTAATCTAGTTCAATTTTATTAATTTCTTTAATTTATTTATTTATTAATTACTTTTATTATTAATTAAACTAAACTAGATTAGTAAGTTAACTCTCCTAAATTATTAAAATTAAACTAGCATTGTTTAACAAAAATTAATAAAATTAAAATTACTGAAATTAATTGATTCATTTATTAATTACTTTTATTAATAATTTAATTAATTTCACTAATTTTAATTTTACTAATGTTAGTTAAATAATACTAGTTTAATTATAATAATTTAGGAGAGTTAGCTTACTCACCAGTCCTAAATATTTTTAAACCTTTAAATTGAATTTCGAATATTACGAGCTTCTATTACTAAAGTTATATTGGTTTAATGGTTAGTCGTAGCAACAGCTAAGAAATTTTTTAAAGAAATTTTACGCACTCTGAATTTTTAATGAAAATTTCACAGCTTTCTCCATAATCTATTACATAACTAAACTGGTGTAAGAAATTAAGACAATTTGCAGACTGGGTTGATTATCTCTGGAACTACTGAACTGATTTTAATGAAATTTGATATGTACATACATTGATACAATACAAACACAGATAAACATTCAACAATTGTAATACATACGCATGATCGTGCGGAACACTCGTTGGAGTCAGTAGGTATGAAATGGTCAAAGAACAATTCAGGCCAATTGCCGCAGGGAATGATAAACTGGACTTATTTCAAGTATGAAATCACTCTGCAAGACCTGCATGTCTGTAAGAAGGGACCATACCCCTTTTTAACCCATTTTTTTAGTTTATTCAGCAAACGGCNTGTGCTCTTCTTCTTTACTCCAGAGTATTTTAGCTGTCATTAAGACAAAAAAAATTGCACTCTGGCTGATGTTCAAAAGAGTGAGTATAATATTACGAATAAAGTATATGAAAGCAAAAACCTCTGTTGCAAGACTCCATTCTCCCTCCTCGTAATTCTGAAAATACTCCCATCCATGAATACAGGGCTGTACTCCAACAGAGTGGTCAAGAGGATCCAGGTACATGGAACAGGAGGAGAAAACCTTTCGTCCACCTTTCTCGACCACTGGCCACCACAAGGCATGACTCAATTGGGAGTCATTTTGAGGAGGCAGTCGACATCTGTGGGGTGGCGTCCAGCCATATATATGCAGAAACTGGTCACTGAAAGTGATGCAGAGTTGTATGCAGCACAACAAGAAGGCTGCCAGGACTTGATATTTACCGTTGGTGGCATCCTTCCAATCGGGCATCATTCATGAACCTCAAAACATTATCTTTTCTGCACAATGCTTCTCATCCTCTTTTGAGTTGGTGAATCTTTCAAGCATTTAAGATCCGTGTGAGAAACTTTATGAACAAAAACTTTTTTAACTAATCTGTAAAAAATAAAAAAGAATTAAATTTTGGACAGTTATGAATGACTGACCGTGTAAAACTAAGCACAGATGGCTCTAGAGGTTAAAATTGATCGTATGACTTCAGGGTTACTACTTCCAATTTGTTTTTACGTCATCAAAGCGTGCCATCCAATAATATTATACTTGTAGTGTTTGCTATATAACGCGTAATAATGTTTCGCACAAGTTGGTCCCACATAAAGTTGTTCGAATTCCTAACATGGAGTGATGGTCAGTTTTGATGGTACCATCAAGAAAAAGACGGTTTTTGATGGAATATTAAGTTGGAAACCATTAACATATGATGGATTGCTTTTGTTGGGACTTCAAACAAAACCATCAACACATGTTGGTTTTCTAACATAAGGTGATGGTCAGTTTGATACCATATGAAATTAAGATGGTTTTTGATGGAATATAAGTAGGAAACCAACAAAATATGTTGGTTCCTGATGAATTTTTTTGTTGGATCACCAAAGAATACTATCAAACCATGCTGGTTCTTGATGGATTATTTTTTTCTTGGACAGCTAAAAAGTACAATCAAAATATGTTGGTTCCTGATGAATTTTTTTGTTGGACCATCAAAAAATACCATCAAACCATGTTGGTTCTTGACGAATTTTTATTTTGTTGGACCTTCGAAAAATACCATTAACCATGGTGGTTTTGTTCATGTTGGTCCAACATAAATTTGTTAATATGAGGTGATGGTCAGTCTTGATGGTACCATCGTAAAAGTAAGATGATTTTTGATGGAAACTCATGACGGTTACCATCTTATTCATGTTGGTCCATCAAAAAAAACCATCAAATATTTTGTCTTGGGAACAAATAAATTAGAAAGACTCCGCAAGCACGCTTTGTCATTTGATCCAAAATATAACAAATAGCAATGTTTTAACAAATATAGTCAAATAAAAAAAACACACTAACCATGGTAAACCTTACACTTTATTTATGTTGTGATATTAATTTTCTTAAATTTGTGTTTTGCTCACGATTTGTTAGAATTCATAAATTACAGAAAACTCTTATGAACAGTAAAATAACGGTTGAATTAAAACAAAAATTACAATAAAAAACTTCCTAGAATATTAAGCCTGTTCACAGCATAACGTAAGCATAACATAAGCGGAGGGATACACCGGAAGTTTTCTTCCGGTTTTAGAAAACTTGTTATTGTTCACATTCAGTCAACCTTCCAAAAGGTTATTTCAAATCATTAAGTATTATAGACGAACTCCATCGAATGAGATTGATTAAAAGGGACCACGAAACGAAGATTCCCTGCACAATATTACATCCATCCTATTTGCACTTGAAATACGTAATATTATGCTGGCACAGCCATTTCTGTAAACAGATGGCGCTGTAATCACAAAATAAAAATGAGTAATAATTATTTAAAATGGGTGCATCTCGAGAAATACTTGCCAATAGGCGTACAATAAAATTAAATAGACGTGTTAGATTAAGGGAGTAAGGTCAAGTTTTGTGTAATTAGATAGGTTGTTTAGTATATCAAGTACGCCTATTTTATTCTCTGATTTGGCATGTTATTTCTTGAAATACATCTCAGATAGCAAAATAAGGTTTATCTACACTCTGCAAAAACCTTTTAAAGTAAACCTAAAAAGGACTGTTATCAGGGACGGATTAACCATTAAGCATACTAAGCACGTGCTTAGTATGCTTAATGATTAATCCGGTATAAAGCATGCATAATGGCACCAGAGCATAGGGGGACACCACAAGAAGCCAATGAAGAAAAATATATTTCTAGAAATCTTCTTTACAAACTGAATTGCTATTGATGTCTATTTATTTCAATCTCAGGAGATGTTTTCCTCCTGCTGCTGAGCTGAGTTGTTTCCCTCCTGCTGCTGAGTTGAGCTGCTTATCTCCTGCTTCAAAGTTGAGCTGTTTCCCTCCTGCTGCTAGGTTGTCATGATTAACTACCATTGCTGAGTTGAGTTGTTTTCCTGCTACTGCCAAGTTGAGTTGCTTTCCTCGTGCTGCTGAGTTGAGTTGTTTGCTTCCTGCGCATATTTTGTGATAACTTTTCACGTTATCACTTTTTACGTAATCATTTTTACGTACTCACTTTTTACGTAATCATTTTTACGCAATCACTTTTTACGGTATCACTTTTTGCGTAATCACTTTTTGCGTAATTATTTTTACGTAATCGCTTTTTGCGTAATTATTTTTTAAATGAACATTTTTTCTAGGTTTTTGTAATCATTTTTTCTAAGCGGTAGTACAACATCAGTTACTAATTTTCCGCGTAACCAGAAAATTGAATATTTAAAACTTGAACAGATTGAAACAGTGCGATTCTATCTGCAATCAGTATGTGTTAATTTTTCTTCTTTTTTTTTAATTTCATATTCAAGGACACTTGGTTTGATTTTAAAAGTATTCATCTTTTTTAAATTTCCATAATGCAACAAGGCTAGAAAAAGAAGCACAAACCCCTAGAGGTTCTTCGAAGTCTTTACGACTGCCGTAAAGAACAAAATAAAAGTAAATAAAACTGATAGTTTTATTTTCTTCCTTCTCTGACTATTTGAAAATTTACAATAAAATTAGTGTTCAATACAAGCATATATGTGTGGCATATATGTGTGTTATAAGGCAATCGTTTTAGTCAGTCTGTTTTAAATACGAATGCATTTTATTACTCTATCCAGGGTTTGATAAAAGAGCGGCAATTATTTTAGTTTTCTAAACGCTTGTCTTATTTTTTTAATGCTGTGCTCTTCTTCTCTTTTCGTACTTTAGTTTTAAACTTTTTTTAATAAATTAAAAGTTGTCATGTGTAGAAAGAAAATTTAAACAAGACAGAATTATTTTTCTCGGGGGTGGGGAGTTTTCTATTTTAATTTGGAAAATAGCTATCAAATTGGAAAAAAAGTTGTTTCTTTCTCTGAATTTACCAAATCTATTTTACTTTATCGTAGCGAATGTCAAACTTTCAGAAGGGTATTTAGAATATTATCTTCCATCTCCAGGGCTGGATTAACCATTAAACATACTAAGCATGTGCTTAGGGCACCAGAGCTAACGGGGACACCACAATAAGCTAATGAAGAAAAATATATTTCCAGAAATCTTCTTTACAAATTTCTTTCGGTTATTTTATCCGGTTCCATGTTCTTGCTCTAACACAAGAACATGGTTTAAACTAAATTGCTATTGATGTCTATTTCATTCGCAGGAGATGTTTTCTTTCTACTGCTGAGCGGAGTTGAGTTGTTTCCCTTCTGCTGTTGAGTAGAGTTGTTTCCCTCCTGCTGTTGAGCTGTCATGATCAACTACCATTGCTGAGTTGAGCTGCTTTCTTTCAGATGCTAAAGTGAGTTGAGTTGCTTCCCTCCTGCTGCCAAATTGAGCTGAGTTGTTTGCCTCCTGTTGCTGAGTTGAGTTGTTTCTCTCCTGCCGTTGAGTAGAGTTGCTTGCCTCCTGTTGCTAAGTTGAGTTGTTTTCATCCTGCCGACAAGTTGAGTTGAGTTGTTAACCTCCTGTTGCTGAGTTGAGTTGAGTTGTTTCTTTCCTGCTGCCAAGTTGTGTTACTTGCCTTCTGTTGCTTAGCTGAGTTGAGTTGTTTTCCTTCTGCTGTTCAGTTGAGTTGTTTCCCTCCTTCTGCTGGGTTGTCATGATTAACTATGACTGCTGAGTTGAGATGTTTTCTTTCTGCTGCTAAAGTGAGTGTTTCCAAGTTGAGTTGTTTCCCTCCTGCTGCCCAGTTGGGTTGAGTTGTTTGCCTCCTGCTGCCTTTTTGCGTAATCACTTTTTGCGTACTCATTTTTGTGTAATCACTTTTTGCGTAATCACTTTGCTTAATCATTATTGCGTAATCACTTTTTGTGTAATCACTTTTTGCGTAATCACTTCTTGCGTAATCGCTTCTTGCGTAATCATTATTTCGTAATCGCTTTTTACGTAATCACTTTTAGCGTAATCACTTTTTACGTAATCATTTTTGCGTAATCGCATTTTGCGTAATCATTTTTTAGTAATCGCTTTTTCTGCTGAGTTGAGTTGTTTTCATCCTGCTTCTGAGTTGAGTTGAGTTGTTTCCCTCCTGCTGCCAAGTTGAGTTGAGTTGTTTTTCTCCTGCTGCCAAGTTGAGTTGTTTCCCTCCTGCTGCCTAGTTGGGTTGAGTTGTTTGCCTCCTGCTGCCTTTTTGCGTTATCACTTTCTGCGTAATCATTTTTGCGTAATTACTTTTTGTGTAATCACTTCTTGCGTAATCATTATTTCGTAATCGCTTGTTACGTAATCACTTTTTGAGTAATCACTTCTTGCGTAATCACTTTTTACGTAATCGCTTTTTGCGTAATCGCATTTTGCGTAATCATTTTTAGTAATCGCTTTTTGCACAATCATTTTTATGTAATCGCTCTTTGCGTAAATATTTTAAAATAATCATTTTTTCTAAGCATTCATTTTTTACAACATCAGTTACTAATTCTCCGCGTACACCAGAAAATTGAATATTTAAAACTTGAACAGAACAATAATCAGTATGCATTAATTTTTCTTTTTCTCTTAAAAGTATTCATCTTTTTTAAATTTTAATAATGCAAGAAGCAAATACCCCTGTCTTCGTCCTGTTGCTGAGTTGAGTTGTTTCCCACCTGCTGCCCAGTTGAGTTGAGTTGCTTGCCTCCTGTTGCTGAGTTCAGCTGCTTGCCTCCTGCTGCCTTTTTGCGCAATCATTTTTGCGAAATCATTTTTGCGTAATCACTTTTTGCGTAATCATTATTACGTAATCGCTTTTTACGTAATCACTTTTTGCGATATCACTTTTTGTGTAATCACTTTTTGCGTACTCACTTTTTGCATAATGACTTTTTACGTAATCGCTTCACGCGTAATCATTTTTATGTAATCGCTTTTTGCGTAATCACATTTTGCGTTATCATTTTTACGTAATCGCTTTTTCCACAATCATTTTTATGTAATCGCTT